TAAAACTTTAACTAAAAATAAAGAGGAAATATAAAAATAAAATCTAATTGAAGATGCAGACAGTGTGTCAGTTCTGCACTGCATGATTGATGTGAATATTAATCTGAAGGGACGTGAATGAATGTCTTTATGTCTGTGTCTCCTCACAGTGCGATATCTACTGAAGAACAACGTGAGTCCTGATCTGTGTAACGAAGACGGACTGACGGCCCTACACCAGGTGAACACACACACACACGCACACACACACACACACACACACACATTGATTTGACTGGTTAAAATGTTCCTAAAAAAAAATAATCACACTTCTCTTCATGGTCAAAAATGACTGTATTGGAAATGAATGGGAAGCGTATTTCATCTAGTGGAAACGTTTGGTACTGCCCCCAAACAAAATCTTACTGAAAGCTTATTTTTTGAGATACCAACCTCAAATTTGGAACACAACTTGTTTTAAATCAGAATCAGAAAGAGCTTTATTGCCAGGTATGTCTGCACATGTTTACGAGGATGGGGGTAGAGGTTGCTGGAGGTCAGAATGGGCGTGGGGTGTGAGACAGGGTTTTTCAAACCTGCAATAAAACTCATTAAAATCGCCGGCCTGTTGTTGATTCTCCACAGTGCTGGCGTGTCTTGTAGTTGGTGACGTCTTTCAGTCCTTTCCACACTGATGCAGGGTCACTGGCAGAAAACTGGTTTCTCAGCTTTTCGAGTAGTTCCTCTTAGCCACACTGATCTCCTTTGTCAGTGTACTTAGTTTTGGCCTGTTTATACAAGACTCTGTCCCCATTCCTGTAGGCATCTTCTTTGGCCTGACGGAGCTGTCTGAGTTCTGCAGTGAACCACGGTTTGTCGTTGTTGTCCTGGTAGGGATGCACATATCCTCACAGAAACTGATGTATGATGTTACAGAATCTGTGAGCTCGTCCAGGGGTGTGTTTCCCAAAAGCATCGTTATCTAACTATGGTAATTAGTTCCATTGAAATATATTGGTAACGACGGAACTTGCGACCATAGTTGCTTTTGGGAAATGCACCCCAGATTGGTGGCAGCAGCTTCAAAAACACTCCAGTCAGTGCAGTCGAAGCAGGCTTGTAAATCCCCCCTGCTTCATTAGTCCATCTTTTTACAGTCCTGATCTCAGTTTCTGCCTGTATGTCGGTATAGGATGAACCAGACATGTGCTTGCGTTGGAAAGTAGACACTTACGAGAATGAATGAGGAAAACTCCCGCGGCGAGTAGAACAGCTTACAGTTGATGAAGAGCGCTTCTAGATCAGGACAGCACATCTTCTTCAATGCTGTTACATCTGTACACCAACTTTCGTTGATGTAGAAGCATGTTCCACCGCCACGCGAATTTGAAAATAGCATCACACACACACACACACACACACACAGACACAATCAAAAGCTAAAATACTAATTCCAATCATTCCAAATTATATTCATGTCTTTTTATTAAAACAACAACAAAAAGGCTTTGTATTGAGGCATAAGCGCATTTATTCAATCTCAATCACAAACAATACAGTCAAGATCACGTTTGCATTTATTACAGTTCATCATGAGAAGGTTTGATGGCAGATTTAGTCGCAGCAAACAGCATGTGAATCAATACAGACTGGCTGCATCACACTTTCATTTGAGCAGAATATCTCAGTAAACTCAAACTTATATGATTGTAGATGACTTCAGATCATCAGTGCTGTTTCTGCAGTGTTGAGAGTGAATAAGAATGGCTGCCAGGTTGAGAAGATAAATTATGCACAGGGAAGAGAACGTGTCCTTTAAGAGAGGGATTTAAACGGTTAAACTGCAAACATGAAAACTTGTGGAGGTCTACATTTTTCCTCTTTTTTTGTTGAAGAAAATCTAGAGAGATTTTGAATTTGGAGAGTTTTAATCTTTTTAAACTACATTTTAGCCTCATCTTGTTTCATCAAAGACAGTGCATGTTGATATAGTCACAGTTAGTGTTTTTAATGATGTCGGTGTCGTGGAAAAAGGTTGTCTGAATATTTTTCGCCATAGTTTCGTTAACTGCTGCAGAATCCGTGTTCAGTCTGTCTGTTCATGTGTGTCTCTGTGGTTCTGTCTGTGGGTGTTCAGCGGCGATGAAAGACTCTCTTTGTGTTGGCCTGCTCCCTCTCTCAGTGTGTTTCTCTCCCAGAATGCCTCACACTCTTTCTCCAGGCTGGATCGTCAGGATTAAAACCCTCTGCGGTGTGTGTTTGTTTCAGAGCGTTGTGTCTTCACTGAATTACTGCTAGTAAACAAATCATCTCTATCTGTCACGGTGTTGCGTAACTGTTTGATCTGATTTTCTGATGCTTATTGCAATAAAAGCTTGAAAACAAACAATCAGTCCATCATGACAAACTGCAGCGCTCAGTCTGATCTCCTGCAAACATCTCTCATTTCTTCAGAGGGTTTTATATACGTATGTGTGTGTGTGTGTATAGATGGATGGATGGATGGATAGATAGATAGATCAAAACATCACAGAGATATGAGGTTAAACGTGCAAAAACAACATGCAAAAGCCACCCAGAACATGGAAGGTCCAGCATTTCTAGTCAGCTTAATTATAACAAACCACAAGGCCTTCACTGAGCTGATTGTACTGGTGTCAGTCTGTTGTCAACATACAAACCTACATCCTGAATCCTACTGGAAAATTCCATCCCCACCCAGCACACACACACTCACACACACACACACACACACACACACTCTCAGCGTGAAAGAGGTTTCACGCTTGAGTTGTAGGTGAAGTTCTCTTCTCGTTCTCTCTGTCTGTCTCAGTGTTGCATTGATAACTATGAGAATATGGTGCGGATCCTGCTGGCTCACGGAGCGACTGTCAACTCTCAGGACAATGAGCTCTGGACGCCTCTTCATGCTGCAGCGACATGTGGACACACGGGCCTCGTCAAGATCCTCATCCAGCAGTGAGTGTGTGTGAGTGTGCGAGTCTTTGTGTGTGAGTCTGGGTGGGAGTGAGAGAGAGAGAGTCTGTGTGTGTGAATCTGTGTGTGTATGAGGGTCTGTATGTGTGAGAGAGAGTCTGTGTGTGTATGTGTGGGTCTCTGTGTGTGTGTGTGAGTCTGTGTGTGTGTGTGTGTGTGTGAGAGTGTGTGTGTGTGTGTGTGAGTGAGAGTGCGTATAAAAATACAGGAAAAACAGTACAAATTTGAAAAAGTTAGAATCTAAAACATCTGTTTTCTATGTGAATCTCTGTTAAACTGTAATGTATTTCTGTGATGCGCAGCTGTATTTTCAGCATCATTACTCCAGTCTTCAGTGTCACATGATCTTCAGAAATCATTCTAATATGCTGATTTGCTGCTCAAGAAACATTTATGATTATTATCAATGTTGAAAACATTAATATTTTTGTGGAAACCGTGATACATTTTTTTTTCAGGATTCACAGATGAACAGAAAGTTCAAAAGAACAGCATTTATATGAAATAGAATTCTTTTGTTACATTATACATGTCTTTACTGTCACTTTTGATCACTTAAATGCAGCCTCGATGAATGAAAACTATTAATTTCTTTCAAAAGAACCCAAACTTTTGAATGGTGGTGTATATATTTTTAACGCAGGTATAGTGTTCTCTCGGCATGATCTGGTCTGATCTCTGATGATCTGGTGTCTCCGCAGCGGCGCTGATCTCTTAGCAGTGAACTCAGACGGTAACATGCCCTATGACCTCTGTGAGGACGACCCCACGCTCGACATCATCGAGACCGCCATGGCCAACCGAGGTGAACCTCCGATCCTCCAATCACTGCCTGTGCTGATGTCAGCAGCTTTATTACATGCGTTTGTTTCATCAGTGTTTTAAAGTCCAGATTCTAACGTTCAAATAGCAGATCTCATCACTGAATGACGAGATGAGATTTGGAAAGATTGGATTTTTCCATTCTGATTCTTACTGTGATTATGACGTAAACATTGAACAGAATAGAAACAATCACCCAACAGTCAATCTGAGTAACTGAACAAATGAGGTTTACTGAAAGATGAAGATTTACTCATCTTGACGTTTCACTGTGAGTTTTCCAGCGTTAGGAAAGTTACTTTTAAAAGCAATGCATTACAGTATTGTGTTACTCCATAAAAAAGTAACTAAGTAAAGCAACTGTAAAGGCTCTTTCACACTAAAAAAGTGAAATGAATAAGCCTCACTCCCAATTTCTCTCAACAGGAGAGCTGTCAGCAAATAAATGGGAAAACAAAGTATCTTGAGTTACTTGTTTGAAAAAGTAACTCTGCTATTTTCCTGTAAATGTAAAAGTAATGCATTACTTTACTAGTTACTTGAAAAAGTAATCTGATTACATAACTCGCGTTACTTGTAATGCATTACCCCCAGCACTGGATGTTTCAGCTTCATTGCAATAATTTATTTCCCAGTCTGGATCAGCTCTCTGTTTGATTGACAGCTGTATTGACCAATCATTGTGTGCATGACAGGCATCACACAGGAGATGATCAATGAGACGAGAGCAGCGGTGGAGAGGAGGATGCTGGGAGATACTCAGAACCTCCTGCAGGATGGAGCCGACGTCAACCGACACGACTCCCAGGGGGCCACGCTGGTACACACACACACACACACTCTCTCTCAACACAAACACACCCAGACACACACACACACACACAGACACACACACAGAGTGAAGTGAGTGTTGGTTATCAACAGATTCTGAATCACTGAAGAACTAGAATCTTATTTACAGCAGTGGTCTTTTCTTGTTTTCTGAGTTTTCCAGCATGAGTGTGATCAGGGTTAATGCAGCAGCACTGATTCACAGCTCTGCTCTCCGTTCATCATTCAGATACGAGACGCTTTTACTGGAGCTTTGTATCAGCGTCACGTAATGCTTCCCTCGACCCGCTGAGTGTGTTTAGAGTTCATGCATTTGTGATGATGCTGAAGCTGCTGAATGAAAGCAAACAAATGAGAAGAACTGGAGTATCTCAGAATGAGCATCACAACATGCTGAGCTGATCTTTTCATCAGACCGTCCTGCTTCTGTTTGCTCTAGTCTAGTGATCGGCATCATGGGAGCCGGATCCACACATACTAATGTGTTTTAGTGCTGGTCCTGATGGATGATGAAGTTTCCATCTGCAGTAGTTGTGTTGCACATGGATGTCTAATTCTTTGAGTTCTTATTCGGGTCCTGATATGTTTATGGATGTATGTGTGTGTGTGTGTGTGTGTGTGTGTGTGTTTTCAGCTGCACATCGCAGCGGCGAACGGTTTCACACAGGCTGCAGAGATGCTGTTAGAGGGTGGAGCCAGAACAGAGATGAGGGATTCTGACGGGTGGACGCCGTTACACGCTGCTGCATGCTGGGGACAGGTACTCACACACACACACACATGCACACAAACTCTCTCACACACACGCACACACACACACACACACACTCACACACACACACACGCACACACACACACAC